GCATTCCTGTGCAGGTACCCTCCAGTTTATTAAGAAGAACTCCAGAGGGACTGTTTTTGAGGACAGCATCCTTGGAAAATCTGTGGGGATTACTGCATAAGTGAACACTGACTGGCTGCCTGGCTTACCACATGTAAGCCATTTTTGTCTACAGTGGGCTACAGAAAAATCAGTGGGAGTATCAGTACTTCTACAGGAGCAAAAGGGCTGCTAACTGCTCCTCTGCCCTCCAAAAATTATAACAAAGAAGCTGTAGAAGTTCAAACTCCTTGAGTTTTCAGTTCCTGCATTTTTTTATTTTTTTTTTTCATTTTGGTCTTATTTGTTTTGGGTTTAATAAAACAGACAAATAGTCCTCTATTTGAGTGCTCTGTGTAAACCTTTCATTTATTAATACTAAATGTCATCCTAGAAAGAACCACACTGCCTGTGAATGTCTGATCATTGCTTGTGCTTTGATCTGCAAATAAACATAAGCGAAGTTTGGGCAAAGCAATAACGCTAAGGAAAACCGCATAAACTTAGAAATCTCATAATCATATTATTACTTCAATAACAAATGATTACAAATTATAATAGTCTTAGTACTCATTAATTCCTATGTTAGCACTTTAATTAAAATACTTTATTATATTTATTAATGATGTGCCCATACACTTGCTCTAACATTTATTGCCAAAATGGGAACTTAATCTTAAAATCTAAATGATGAAAAACAGATGGGAAAATGTAATATAATTTAAAAAACAACCCATAGATAGAGTATTGTATCTTGTTGGTTTAGAAGGTCTTCTGGAGCAAGCTGGTGCATTTTTATGTAGTTGGTGATGAAGCTTTCCATAACTCAGAAGAAGCCTAAGATCTTGGTGGTAAAAGAAGAGCTTACAAAGCAAATAAAGACCATGGGCATCAGCAAATTCTGTCCACAAATTAGATATGAATGTACTGTATGTTTTCATTCAAAAACCTCAGCTTGGATAAGTTTAAAAAATGCCTTCCTTAACTCAGAGAAAACTGAATCATGAACTGGAAATAGTGATAGCAGTACTCAGGGATGTTCCAAGGCTATCTGTGGTTCACCACTCAGTTATGTACCAAGTTCCAAGCAAAGACTTTCATCATATGAGCCCTATATTTACGCTTTAATAGTGATGTCAAAAAATAGCATTGTATGACCTATTTTTGAGATTCACTGTTCTCTTCTGCCTACCACCTTTGCCAGTGCAATAAATTACTAAAGCCATCAGAACATTCCCCTGTGTGATCAAAAATAATTTACAGGAATCTAGTCTAGGAATCTTGACTGAAATCAGTATTCACTTTTGTTGGGACCTCAGAGACAAGAAAGCAACTTATGTTCATATGAAGCTAGCAAGTCCTTTGTAATAATAAAACTAACCTGGCAAAAACAGAAGAAACTGGTAAGAAGAGACAAAGTCTTTTTGGATTTAATTCAGGTTTGAAAACTAGATATCTGAGCTTCAGAGATGTCTAATACACAGTGGAGGTTAAGATGATAAGAGAACTGATTAGAAGTAGCATGGAAGAGACGGGATCCTTGGTGACGAGATCAGCTTTTACAAAGCTAGCAATAATTTAAAACATCTTTTCCTATTACATGTACCTAAAATTTCTAACTTTAAGTGAGTTCATACCAATTGTTTTATTCCTGCCAGTAGAGGATCTGCTATGGGGTAGACACAAGTGGAACAGATAATCCAACAGCTGTCATTGAATGTTAATGTAAGCGTGAGCATAGCTGTTTTCCTGACATTGAGATCACAGATGACATAGGAACACCACCACCAGTGCAGGTCTATTGTCTCACTCCTCTTCACAGGAGAGCTTATCTTGCTTTGTTTTATAAGCCATGGCTGGCATGAAAGTTATAGGCAAATAAAAAACCCAACAGGATAATGATGACGGAGTCATTGCCACTAAAGAATCTCTTCCTTCAGAGAACTATGTTTATATGTAAAGGAAGTACAGTGCTAATTCTAACCCTGAAATGTGGACTGGGAAATACTTCCAACAAATATATTACTCTTCCCCATTCAGCATACCACTGAGAATGCCTGAGGATACTGTGCTTTATACCAGCATCCCTGTGGTAATATGCCCTGTTACTTCATTTCCAGCAGTAGAAAAAGCTGAGGTACTTGTTCACTCACACTCACGGGTATCATGGCTGATAACAGAAATTCACAATACACTGCTAACTGTGTTTCTCTGAGTAGTGCTAAGACCTGGCTTTTCCAGCTCCTGCTACCTAACTAGGCATGGTACCTGATTTTTGGAAGTTTGTAAAGTCTCACAAGCACATAAAGTAACAGTTAACTGATTTTGCAGTGTATTTTTTGAAATCTGTCATATCATGATCCTCTAAACAGACTAAATTTCTTTGTCCTGGAAATAGCACTGTGGATTAATAGTAGGTTTCCTCAAAGGCTTCTGTCAGAGCTAACTGCTCATTGGTTTCACCCTCAGTGCTGTCTCCAGCTTTCCTTCTCCTCCTTCTCCTTAACCACTGACTCCATCTAAATCACTCCACGCTTGCTACGTTACTATTAGGCCCTAGCCTCTAAGTTTTACCCAAAACCTAGCCAAAATATGTGACTTCCAATTCACTCATGTCTAAAGCATCTCCCTAATACATCAAGGCACCAAAAGCAATGTATTGAGACTGTGCCTTT